ATTGGGGGGGGGGAAGGGGTATGCGGTCGGGTTTCGTGAGGTTCGCGCCGTGGTGGTTCTCAAAGCGCCGAAAGATTGGTTGGTTGTTTTAAGCACGGAAGACGTGAGACGGACGTCTGGAGCTTTGCGCGCCAGCGAACCTCCTCCTTGCCGAGACATTTGACACCATCGTAATAATCACCATTTCAGCTTTATTACGCACGAAAGACGGCGATCGGCACCACTCCTCAACTGTGTCACTCTCAGGAATCGGCGAAGGAACACGCAGAACCACATCGAGAGGCCTACCTTAACGCTCATTTCAAAAACATTCTTGACTACCCCCCCCCAACCCCCCCGGGAACAAACGCTAGCCACACCCTGCGGGAGTCCAATGATACCCCGGGGCCACTTTCCCACCTCCCATCGTCGCCGCAACCCACGATCCAGTTGTCGCTGCGGTAAGGCCTGACTCCCTCTTCCGCCGCCTGGTCCTGCTGGTGCAGCAGGTGGTACGCCGATCCCCCCGCGGCCGCACCCTTGTCGCGAACGAGATGTCTGCTGTGGCTGCCGAAGTACGCCCACTTGACGAAGCCCACCGACTTGAGCCTACGGTTGCGGGGTCGTGTTCACGAATGTTCGCCGCGGGGTTGAAAGAAAATAGAATGCTTCGGGATTTTCACGACACCCAAATTCTCAACCGTACCTCTGGATAATTGCGTCTGTACTTTTGTGCTGCTGGTTCTTGTGGGAGGCTCTGAAACAGACTTGCTCGTGCCATCGCAAGGCAGAAAGTAGCAAATCTTTGTACACCCGTGTTGAGTACATATCGCGAGGACCCCTATCCAGCAAGCATGGCCAGGAGCAACCAACAGCGAAAACACGCATGTTGCCGCCGAGACCCCGTCCACTGTCACAGGCAAGAGACCCAACGAAAGATACCTACCGTGTCTGTGGATATTGTCTAAGCTGGCCGTATTCCTTGTCATTCAACACGAGATACAAGGAGGCGGTACTCGCCCTCGCCGAATGTGCGGAGGGTCAGGGGAGAGACAAAAAGCACCTGCTCCAGGCACCGCGCGTGCGGTAGTCTACCGTGCCACCGAACAGAGCGGCCTTACCTTAAGCTATCCTCGTACCAACCCTTGATGGTTGCAGTTTGAGCGAACTTTATCGTCCCGCTTGCCGTTGGCATAGAATAGCGATCCTCCCATTCCTGCTCCACCCAGACATGGGCGCTGGCAAATAGAAGTACGGCGCACACCGCGGTAGGCGCGGGGGGGGGGGGGGGACGCAAGGTCTCAGGCGGTTGTGGGGGATAAATGCCGCGGGGAGATCTGCCTGCCACCTTCTCACCTTGACAAGGCGTCTTTGCTTTGCAAAACGGTTGGAGGCACAGCAGTAGTCGCTACAAGCACGGCTGGGCAGCCACCACCGCACCCGCCATGTCCATCTTTCCCACCGGCGAGCATATTCCCAGCGCTCGCTTTGGCGGTGAGGAGAGGTCAACGTCGCAGGTGCTTGCACCTAAGATGAATGCGAACCAACAAGCCTGAGAGCCCGGGCGCGCAATACCAAACAAAGGCCATGAACACATTCCCCCCAGTCCAGTACACCCCCCGGCGTTTGCCATCGGGATTGGGTTTTCGTCGCTTGGCAACGACGTTGTAAAACAAGCCAATTCACTTCGGGAACTCGGCAACCAGGTTACCGTTTCTTTTTTTACCTCTGTTTTCTTTTTTGGCGGTAACCATAATGGTGGCCGAGTAGATCATGTTGTGCGGGGTCGAGAACCCTCACTCCGCGCAAGGGGGATGATCGCACCACGTTGTGTTAAAATGGTCAACCACCCTCGAGGCAGTTACACAGTACTTAGAACTGTCTCTGGAAGTGAAAGCGTCAGAAAATAATTCAAGTCATACGCAGCTGTCATCCGTACGCAAGGAAGTAAGCACAAGATGCCGAAAACCCTTAGCAGGATGCAGCGCACCCTTCATGCGACTCGCCGAATATCTCACGGCGCTTCGCGCTTGGTGATGTGAGAGCCTGGTCCGGTGAGAACCCGGCGTGCTCCGTCCCGGCTTTGTAGGGATGCGAGGTCAATGGTCTAACGACTACGGCATGCACGACTATGAGTACACCCCCCCCAGTCCAATACAACCCCCGCGTGTTAGCCATTGCGCCGAACAAAAAAAGGCCGTACGAGTCCCACACCTTCCGTTCTCGCCGAGAGTGAGCAAGTAGTCCTGCTGGGCGCCGGGCCCGCGACCCCACACCACCTGCACCAACGGTCCGTCGTTGTTCAGCACTGTAGCGGGCTGAAAGTTCCACGCACCATCGTCTTCGGTCGCGTCCTCCGCGCCCTCCGCCCTCAGCCCCGCAACCGGGGCGGCGGAACCGTTCCTGGCATCGCCGCGGTCGTCCGCCCCCCAGGGCTTGCCGTACCCCGGCATGCTTCTTCTGCGGAGCCAGATCGTGACCTCATCGGTGCCCTTGTAGGCAGCCGCGAACATGCATCCACAGGGGGAGGTGGCGAGGGCGACGAAGCCGGGGGGGGGGTGCAGGCGGCGGTCAGAGGACACGCCTCCCTTTCGCACCCACTTTCGAGAGAGCCGGAGGGAGTTGCGGTAGACGGATCGAGGCCCGAAGGGAGACGAGGACGACGACGACGGCGCCTGTTTTTTAGGCTCTGAATCGCCTTCGTCGTCGCTGCTGCCGCCGCAGTCGCTGCTGTCGGACTCGTCGGAGGAGAAGGTGTTGGCGTTGGCGCTGGGAACCGCGGGGTTGTTGCTCCAGACGCTGATCGCCTGTTGCGCCCAGGTTGGCGACGAGAGAGAGGGGGAGAGAGAGTGAGACAGAGACAGAGACAGAGAGAGTGAGACAGACAGACAGACAGACAGACAGACAGACAGACAGACAGACAGACAGACAGACAGAGGGAGCGAGGGAAAGAGAGATTTCACACACGAAAGAGAGCATAACATCACTTGAGTGCGGAGGGGAACGATCGCCTCTACGCAGTTGACACAGCACGAGACAGAATTCACACGAGAGGGAGCACACGTGCGGAGATTACTCTTTCCTGATGCTAGGCCAGGAGACGATCTCTAATACTAAAAAGTAGTCAGGACACGACGCTGGCCGGGACGTTCCACCACCAGAACCGCCGTCGTGCAATGATAAAGAGAGCGACTAACGACAGTTCATCGCTACAATCGTGCAGCACCGGCAAGGGCGTGCCACAGTCGAAGAAAGGGGGCTATCTTTTACGTCGTGAAGACTTCCAAGAACGCTTTCTCTTGTAAATCGCCTGAAATAGCATGCTCGTGGACGGCTACATCTTACGCGAATGGATTAGACGATAACCCCGCGTGCCTACAAAAATATCGAATTGTCGACTGCTGCACGGCGTCGGTTTAAGACGAATTACGAAGGCTTCGGGTTCCATGGACGCTTCTCTCGTGAATGGTCTTACATGGCGTGCTCGAGAACGGCTACATCTTGAACGCATAGGCTAGACAATACCCCCGAGTGCCTACAAAATTTTCAAAGCGTCGGCGTCGGTTTAACACCAATACAACGCTAGCCCGTAGGCCACCGCATGTGGGTGCATGTAGCGTTCTTCCCGTGCCAACCATTGTATTTGCCATCCAGCCAAGGATGGGTCTTTGATTTGCATGAGGGTGTTACAGAGTCAACATCGTGCACGTTACACGAAAGCTACCATAAGAAACTCTTTGCGCGGATGGCACAGCGAAGATAACAGTGGGTTGGTTCCGGCGGACAAGTGCGCCGGCCACTGTCACAGCAGTGCGTGACGACATGGGGGCGAACAGGGACGTCATCCAACACATGTTTTGCACTCTTCGAACGATCTACGTAGATGCATACGCGGACATGCTTAGGCGTTCGTTACCACGAGCACTATCTACCAACGCGTGTGTGAAAACAACGGGAACGAACGTTATCACGCACGAGCACTATATACCAACGCGTGTATGAAAACAACGGCTGACCTGATCAGCGACCACAAGAGGCCCCCGGCAAGACCATGACAGCAGAATCCGATCGCTCCCGCCGCCCTTGTGCAACGGGGAAAGGGGCACGCGAGCGGCGCACGACCAGCTGTAGCGAACTCTGCTTGAGAGGTACACCCCATCGGGGGTGAACACCGCAAGTTCAGGGCCCCTCCCTGCTGGGTTAGAAGGAGAGGGGGGAGGGAGTCGGACTATGGCTACAAAACACAAGCAGCTGCATGCTGTCCAATACCCGGCGGGGCGATATTGTTCGGTTCCGGTCCTTCCGCAACGAACGACTTAACGACTTTGTGTCATACATCGATGGCGGCCGGTCTTTCGAGCAAGCGGAGTTGGAAGCTCCTGCACAAGGTTTACAGGAGAGGCACCACGCAACCAAGGCTTGCACTACTATGCGTCAGCACCTCTGGTGGACACTATACAGGACAAAGCTCCCGAGCTGCAGCCGGTGCTCGCTCCCCCGGGCTGCCAGGTCAGGGCTCGAGGCGCAGCGTCTCCCTCCGGTAGCAGAACGCGTTGAACCAGCACCAGCGCCGACGAGTCTAGGACGACAATGGATGCCGGCGATTCTGAAGGCACGGCCAACAACTCGTACCCATCAAAGTGGGTGTGACTCCACTCCATCGCGTTGCTGCAGCTCGGGCCCGTTGCCCAGCGCAAGTAAGCACCCAAAAGGCAGCACAGGCAGATGCATACCCCACAGTGTCGTCCAAGGTATAGGGGGCACGCGTACTGTCATCGCTTACCCCGATGAATAAATTCCACGTAGTCCCTTCACGGAAACGTGTGCTGTGTTGCTCTCACAGACACCAGGTTTTGATTGCCCCGCAGAGAGAGTTCCCCGAGGGGGGGAGGGAAGCTCGGGACAGCAGTGAGACCACGGAGAGATGGAGCAAAAAGAGGAGTGGTTCGGTGAGCACGCGGTATTTGGGTTTATCCCCGTTATGGTAGTCGTTCGTACATAGGTTCTCCAACAGGCTAAGAACTAAATGTCGAATGAATTATTATTGGCAATACCAAGTTGCTGTTCTGCCCTTGCCGCGTGCATGATGGGTTGCACATCGCACAATAGGGAGCGTGTCGCTTGGTAGTGACACCGTATGTTGGAGCCTGTTGTCTTCTGCTCCTCACGAAGGACCAGGTTTTTCTCGAGCGCTCTGAAAGTGCCGCTCGCCTTGCAGAGACAAGCAGCGCCTAACACCGAAAACACAAAACCGTATACAGCCACCGCAGCAGCAGCAGCATCACATCCATTTTACCCCGCGTTCCAACGCGGCTAGCTTGCCCGTGATGCGCAACGTGGTTGTACTTCAATACAGCGCTTCTCTTGTAACGATCTTGGCCCTGTAGTTTCAAAGCTACGCCGATTTTATCGAGCAGAAGCTTGTGCTGCCAAGTGGCTGCCTGCGGTGGACTACTACTGTTGTTGTAGGTCTGTTTAAGTACTAAAAGTCGGTCGTGCTACGCACCTTCGTTCACCAGTTGTCTTTCGTTCATATCTGAACGAACTCCGTAGAACCTTCCTCGTACCTCATACCTCATACCGATCCTGTACGGAAGCACTTCTTCTTCATGTTCTTCTTCTGAGAGTCTTGCGAGATGAAAGCCCTAGTGGAAAGCGCTCCGTGTGTCTTCGTGAGGCGCATTTAGCGGAACTCAACGTTTGGATGCATTGACACAGAAGAAACACTATTACCCGCGTGAAACGTCCCGCTACTTCCTGCCGCGTACTGGTATTCGTGTATGAATACGAAGAGGAACATCTGTCCCAGACACTTAAGTTATCTTGTCTGTGGCGGAGATGAATTTGTACAAGTAGGGAGAATAAAAGCTGTTCCCTTGTAGCTTTTTTCCTTGCCACCCCGCCTGGTGTGTCAGAACAAGGTAGACTGATCCTCAGTATCGATGGAACCAAACACACCAATACACCGCGGTTGCAGGGAGGGAGGGAAAGGCTCTCTCGCTGCTTCGCGCCTGTGATGCTGCTCTCAGAAAGTTCGCCGCGAGACCTTCTTTTTCTGCGACCAGCACTGACTTCATAGAGGTGCCGGAAACGGCTCTCCATTTCCTGATGAACAACAATTGTGGACCCGGTTTACCGACGACCACTTAGTGTCAGGAGAATTTGGTTGCTATTGCCCGGATAGCGGCTATTAGTCGGGGTGCAGCAGGTGGTGCCACGCGATTTTGTGCTATGTCGCTGTTCAGGACCGCTACACATGGCGTAGCTAAACCGGCGCACCCCAAGTATCATGTACGACACAAGATAACGTACACCCTTGACCGGTTTTCAAAGCTCGATTTCTCAGCAGCAGAACAAGAGTCACGACGCCGAAAACGGCAACGTTCAAGCCGTCTCGTCGAGAGCTTTCCGACAATATATCGTTCGCCTATGCATCCTCTTCGTCGTGGCGAAATCGAGCTTTGAAAATTGGACCAGGGGGTGTGTTATCTTGTGTCATATACGGTATGGACTCCTGACAGCGAATGCTACGAGCACGGTCCTTGGGTCTGCCAGCCCTGTGTCTCTTGTCACCCACGGGCGTGATACAGCGGTTGGGCACCGGTCCCATCTCTGATGCTCTTTGGGAGAAAACGTCCAAGATCCAGAAAGTTGATCCGCGTACGGTGGTGTGCTTTTTTGCGTAAAGAATGTAGACACTGCAGTTACAGAAAGGCCATCGCTTCAATCGAGATAATACCCCCCGATCGAAGGGGTGTGTACACGTCGTCGCAGCAGTGAGCGGTGGAATTCGTCTTGTACTTCGTAGCATGTAGTAGAGAAATATCCAGGCTTGGCCATTCCATAGATGCGAAATCTATGGGGTATGTCACAGAACCTTTCCACAAAAAAATCCGTTCGCGCGCCTCTTGGCGGTGCCGCGAGGCCAATGGTCTAACGACTACGGTATGCGTTGACACGAGTTTACATGAGTGCCCCCCCCCCGCCCCCCCCCCAGGCGAGGACTTCGGTCAGAAGATCGACCTCACGGTCCGAATACGAGAGATCCTCCGAAACTACCCGGAAGGGACTTCGATCCTTAAAGAACTGGTTCAGAACGCCGACGATGCGGGCGCCCGGGAGGTGCGCCTTTGTCTCGACCTGCGGCAGCACGGGACGGAAGGGCTTCCCAGCCCGGCCCTCGCTCAGTTTCAGGGCCCCGCGCTGTTGGTGTTCAACGACGGAGTTTTTACGGACACGGACTTCCGGTAGGTTATGTTGTTGTGTTTTTGGCGTGCCTGTCGTTCATGTTGCGGGTTCCTCGGCAGGGTCCCAAGCATCGCATGACACAAGATAACACACCACCTGGACCGATTTTGTAGGCTCGATTACTCTACGACGAAGAGCATTCATTAAGTGAACTGATACGCTTTCGGAAAGCTCTCGACGAGATGGCTTCAACCTCTTTCTGCTGCGGAGAAAGTCGAGCTTTGAAAATCGGTCCGGGGGGCGTGGTGTCTTGTGTCACCTACGGTAGATGGTAGGTTGGTGCATTCGGCTTGCCACATCGCCCCGGTGGTCTAGTGGGTAACCTCGCAGCCTGCTGAAGGGGCCAGGTCATGGGTTCGAGTCCCGGCAGAGTGAGTTTTTTTCTCACTAAATAAATCCTGGTGTAGGATGAAAGCGACGCGCTGCAAAGCTCGTTGTTAGTGAACCATAATCGACTTCGTAAGTCGCGAGGGAAGGGACTGCTGTACCCTTCTCGCGATAAAAATACCTCAGGCAGGAACCGCAGGTAGGGGTCCAACCCCCCCCTCCTATGTGACCCTGGTTGGGTCGTCTAGCTGGTAGAAGTGGAGGATAGGGGCCAGAGGGGCAGACGACAGAGTCCAATGATGGGAGAAAAAAAAATATACATAGTATATATATATACATGTAACCGGTCGGCCCGGCGGTTTAGTGGGTAGCCTCGCAGCCTGCTAAGGGCCAGGTCATGGGTTCGAGTCCCGACAGAGTGAGTTTTTTCTCGCTAATTAAATCCTGGTCTCCGTTGGAAGCGACGCGCTGCAAAGGTCGTTGTTAGTGAACTTGATCGACTTCATAAGTCGCGAGGGAAGGGATTGCTGTACCCTTCTCGCGATTAAAATATCTCAGGCAGGAACCGCAGGAGGGGGTCCAGTCCCCCCCTCCTATGTGACCCCGGTTGGGTCGTCTATCTAGCTAGTAGAAGTGGAGGATAGGGGCCAGAGGGGTAGACGACAGAGTCCAATGATGCGAGAAAAATAAAAATAATAATAAAATATAACAATACCGCAGCATAGAGATGCGTTTGGTGTCGGGAAGGAGCGAAAATCGCTGCTTAGGCTTGTGGAAGCGCCGAGTTGGATGGTTCGCTATCTGCTTTTTTTTTTGCCGCCATACTTTGACGCGAAGAGCTCGGACGTTGTAGAGCCGACCACATACCCCGAAGTTGGAACCAACAGTGGTCCTCGACCTGCCGCTCTCCAAAGGCATACCCAGGCTCCTTTTCCAAGGGTCATGGCCCATTCGGATGCCGGTGCTGCTGTTGTCGAACGCCACAGCAGTACACCCTCGAAAGTTTTCTCGCCCCCCACGAGGATTCGTCTCACACTCCCGTTCTCTGCATCGTTATCGGACGCCTGCCTGCTGCCGTTACCACTAACGGCGGTACTGCGCACCCACGGTACTTGTCGTACGCCCTTTGTAGGTCTATCCAGCGGATTGGAGACTCGCTCAAGAAGGACACCTCTAAGGGCGGAAAAACAGGTACAATAACGACTTTTTTCGACTTTTCCCTTGTTCGCCGAGAGGATACTACGTTAAACTCAATACAATAGCCTGCGCTCGACGGTGGTGGCGAAATAAGAAACTCACTCTCCCGCCACGAGTGTTGCGTTTCTTCTCTGCGAGGCCGCACGTGATAATACAGCTAGTTGTGGGCCCTGTATAGTGTCGGTGTGTGTCAAGAGATTTTGCCGGCACTGTACCGAAGAACGTAGATTGGGTAGAGAGGACGGCTTTTAATGTGAAGACAACAACAACATACCGGGTCACCCGCACTTATCAGAACATATGGGTCGTAGTATGGGAGTGGACACCCGTGTCCTGAGGTTTGACTCGGCACTTTACCGGACCGTGGCACTATGCAACCGGCACTATGCAGGGCCCACTATATTAGTCGTTAGTCATGCAACCCATCCTCCACCACGCTCTTCGGCCTTTTTTTTTTTTCTTTGAAGGTCGGTTTGGCATCGGCTTCAACAGCGTCTACCACCTGACGGAGCTGCCGGCGTTCGTCTCCGCCGGCAAGTGGTGCAGCTTCGACCCCCAGGCAAAGTTCCTGCCCAACATCAACCCAGCCAACCCAGGGAAGATGGTCGACTTCATCAAGTACCCCGAGACTGTCAAGCGGTACCCCGATCAGGTCCGTGTTTACCGTACTGCTGCACCGCCGTTGCTATCTGGGTGGGGATAAGGCTTGGCGTGAGCTTGCTCTGTATTTTTCGTCCCATCTTTACGTCTCAAGGTGTTATGTGTTCGTGTGTAGCACCAGCGCGGGGGGTCGCGCAGCTTGTTGAGGATAACAGATCGCGTGCTGATTGGAGGTGGTGAACAATCCGCGTCGTTGTAGTGCAGCGAGGTTGGTGTACCTCCCTGAAGCGACCAACACTGTGACAAGCGTCAGCAATGCTTTCGCGCATCGACTAGCCAAGGAGTGTCAAACTCGCGGCGTAGCACTCAGCCAAGAAGCCCTCTCATGTTCCCTCGCTCTCTCCACCCCTCCTCGATCCCCGGGTGTGGCGCCCCCTCTCCCCCTCCGCCCTCTCTCCGCCCTCTCGAGGACGCGTGGGCAATGATCCANGTCCCCCCCCCCCCCCCGCCCCACACCTTCCGCGTGCATGATTCCGCGGCGCCACAGTTTGCTCCGTTGAGCGCGTTCGGGTGCAACCTGCGATCCCACTTCCCGGCCACTCTCTTTCGGTTCCCGCTGAGGACATCGGAACAAGCGTCGGTGTCTCGTCTTAGCAGGCAGGCCCACGGGGTGACGGACATGAGGGGGCTGTTGGAGGCGTTCGCTGGCGAGTCCGCCGGGATGCTGCTGTTCCTCAAGAACGTGGAACGCATGACCGTGTTCGAGTGGGACTCCGGCCAGAGCCAGCCGCGGCAGGTGAGTTTTTGCGATGCGCACACGTTTGGTTGGCATCCGTACAGTTACCCCCCGCGCCCAAGAACCTCCGAGGCTGGGGATCTTGGTTCCTAGGGTTTTGCCTCGAATGTCCGCTACAGCAGTAGGTGGCCCGATACAGGGACAACTTGAATAGTGGAACTGCCCATGTAGTGGCATAAAAATCTCTTGTCTCAATCTCAACACGTATGATACATGAACCCGATAGACTGTCTCGACTACCGTATATGACACAAGGTAACACACCCCCTTGACCGATTTTCGAAGCTCGATTTCTCAACTGCCGGAACAGTCACAGCGCCGATAACGGCGGCGTTGGAACCGTCTCGTCGAGAGCTTTTCGAAAATGTATCGTTTTGTTAATGCATCCTCTTCGTCGTGGAGTAATCGAGCTTTGAAAATCGGTCCAGGGGGTGTGTTACCTTGTGTCATATACGGTAGTGACACTGCCCTGAATAGTGCCATATTCTCCTCCTTGCCCCTACATGTCACTATGTCGGGCTTCTTACTGTACTTAGCTTTGTTTAGGTTCTTAACCGAGCTCACAAATGGTGCCCAGGTCCTTGCATTTTACTTTTTCGACGCTTGATTTTTTGTTCCTGCCATGTTGCAAAGCTTGGGCGCTAGCCGTTGTTGTGTTCAACTTGTTTTGTTTCGGTACGCCTGAAGAGGGGCTGCTGCGATTCTGAGTTCCGCCTGTACCGTGTGCTTGCTCGACCGGCATGCTGCAGAAGGGCAGTCGGAAGTGTAACGGCTACTGCCGTTACTCCGCGGTTCCAAAGGCTGCCTCGCCGTGAAGCTTGCTAGTGTTTGCGGTTCCGCTGACGGGGGCGAAAGCTGCGGGTGGTGTTCGTGTTGTTGATGTCGCGTTGAATACCGTATATGACACAAGATAACACACACCCTTGACCGATTTTCGAAGCTCGATTTCTCAACTGCCGGAACAGTCACAGCGCCGAAAACGGCGGCGTTGAAACCGTCTCGTCGAGAGCTTTTCGAAAATGTATCGTTTCGTTTATGCATCCTCTTCATCATGGAGTAATCGAGCTTTGAAAATTGGTCCAGGGGGTGTGTTATCTTGTGTCATACGGTAGTACACCGTGTGCGTCTGTGCTCCGAGGATGTACAGGATGTGGCTGCCTCTGCACAGTTCACGACAGGTTGCTCTTGCGTGCTGGATGAAACCTCGCTTACGGTAGCTATTTTGTGTACACGCTGCCATCGTGGTCCCTGTACAAGGCCTCATCGGGCCACGGGAATTCGCGGTCCCTGTACCGGGCACTCGCATCGGGCCACGGGAGTTTGTGGGCCTTGTACCGGGCGCTCGACACTACACAAGAGAAGCTTGACTATTTTCATCTGTGTCACGCGATTCCGCGGGCTTCACACAGGCCGGCCCGCCTGATTTGCGCGGCCCTGTACAGGGACCACTAGTGCGTTACCGCAAAGAGCGGCTGCCCTACCCGACACCACCAAGTTTGAAAAGCTGAGACGTTACACAATACTCTTCAGCAAGCCGTTTGGGCCGCTCCGTTGACGCAATCTTGCTTGCCTTCCCCCGTTTCTGTCGCCCGGCTCTCGATGGAAGATTCACGCGACTTTCGTGCCGAGCCCGTCGGCAGCGCTCCGCCGGTCGCGCGCGTTCGCGCTGTCGGCAACGCCGGAGAAGCTCGCCGGGGGAGGGGTCACCACGGCGGACTACGTCCTGGACCTCGTCTCCCAGCCAGCGAGAGGCAGCGGCGGTGAGAGCACTCCCCCATTACCTTGCTTGTATATCAGCTTGTTTCGCGAGTCGGCGATGAGAACCCCCATCACCTTTCTCTACCTCTGCTTGTAATGCGCGTTACTGTTGGTGACACAGGTGGTCTTTCTTTAAAATATGGTTCAAAGAACGGCTACATATCCGTTCGAGATAATAATATCCCATGTTCGAAGGGGTGCGTTGGTAGCTCTGCGGTGACGGTTTGGGGAGAAACTCGTGGATGCTGGGCTTATTCGAGTCTGTTTTAAGTCGGTCTTTTGTTGGAAATTTTCGAACCAACCACCCGATCGCACGCTTTCGAGACCCACTAATTAGCAATCGCCCAGCTCCTCTTGTCATTTATTGGCATCAAATGTTGTGGAGATGACCTTAAGGAATGGCCCAACCACGCATCTTTTTCTCTTTTTCACGTTGGCTCCGTCGACGAAGACCCACCCTCTATTCCATTCATTCACTAACCCCCCCCCCAATTCCTTGCTTTCACATTGGAGTCAACAATGAGATCCCTCTTTTCGCAAAACGGCCTCACTAGAAGCAGAAGTATCTAAGCTCCGAACGGCGGCGCTGTTCGAAACCCAACCCCCACCTCTTCCTGTGCGAATTTCGTCAGCAGTGCAGCAGTCTCTTGAGAGATTCGACCAACACCCCCAACTTCGACACTTGCCCTCCCTCCCCCCCCCGCGTCGACTAACGCCCCAACTTCCCCGCCCTCCCCTCCCCCCCCTACAGCCCCGATAGTACGCGAGAAGTGGCAAGTGTGCAACCAGCTCGGTGGGCCCTGGGCCACCGCCATCGCCGACAGCGAGAAAGCCAAGTTTATGAAGTTCGTCCCCTGGGCCGGGGTCGCCGCGCGCCTGGCCACCACCGAGGTTGCGCCGCCCTCCGTCTTCCCCGCGGAGGGCGGGGGCGCCGCGGGGGGGGGCGAGGGGAAAGGAGGGGGCTCCAAGCGGCTGCCCCCGGCGCCGCGCGGCGCCGCGTACTGCTTTCTGCCGCTCCCGGTGTTGACTGGGTTGCCGGTTCATGTTAACGGGTGAGGCCCGTAAGACCCTTCTAGGCGGTGTTGTCTTCCTTTCCGTCGACTGTTGTTGTTGATCGCCCTACCATTTGGTGTTGTCCTTCTTGACGTAAGCTGTTGTTGATGATCTCGCTCTCGGTTGTCTTTAGAAAGTTTTGATTTTTCTTGTTTTTCCCGTCACTCTTTAAGAGCGTCGTCTTCTTTCGTCGCCGCGTACTGCTTTCCTGCCGCTCAACGGGTGCGGCCCTTGGAAACGAGGACCCTACTGTTATAGGCGTTGTTGTCCCCCTCTCCGTTTGCTGTTGTTGTTGATCTCGATCTCGCTTGTCAGTAGGGTCTTTGAAGTTCCTTTGTTCTTTCCGTCACTGTATAGAGCGTCCTCTCTTTGGCTTTGACTCCCGCCCTCTCGTCCGTCCTTCTCGGCGTTTTTGCCCTCCGTGTTGTTGGTTGTTTACGCGGCGGCATCCACCAGCTACTTCGAGCTGTCTTCGAACCGGTGAGTTCGACTGACTTTGTCTGGTGGGACTGCTAATGATTCCCGGATGGTGTTTGTTTTTGTAGTATGTTTTTTGCTTCTGACGAGGAGCAGAAGATGTCTCCTGGAAGCATGAAACCGCGCTGTGTGGGAGCGGACCACCCAAGCGTTATTTTCACCCCCCTGTCGAGACTCTCACAACAGCAAAGTGCGTGTCCACATGCGTACCAGGCGGATGGCCAAGCGCGCTGGTTTTTTGTCGGCCGTGCGTATTCATTGCTCTTGATGCCCGCTCGACCCTGACAGAAGCCTCGTAGCACGCGCGCGTAGCTATTTTTCGCGCACTCCCTGGTCGACTGCTGTGCATGTTTCTTTCTTTTCGCTGTCCCTCCTGTATTGGGGTCGCACACCGGACTTAAAAAAACCTTGGGGTGCTGTCTGTGAACGCAGACGTGACATCTGGAGCGGGTCGGACATGGTGGGCGACGGCGAGCTCCGCGCCAATTGGAATAAGGCCCTCGTGGAGGAGCTCGCGGCGAGCTGCTACACCCGCGTTCTTGTGGCGGCGAAGGCCTCCCTCGGGGGCGGGGCGGCCTACGAAGCCTTGTGGCCGACGGGGTCGACGGCGGAGGGGAGCATGTGGCGCGGGCTCGCGGACTCCCTCATGCGCCTGGTTAGGCCGCTGCCGCTGCTCAAGACGCGTTCCCCGATCGCGGGGGGTTGGGTGGCCCCGCAGAAGTGCGTCGTGTGGACGGGGGGGGGGGGGAACGGGGGCGGGGGGGGAAGGGAACGGGAGCTGCGAGCCCTGGCCGAGGTGTTGCTGGCGGAGAATGTGAGGGGCATACATGAAATCCCGNGAACGGTGGCGGGGAGGGAAGTGAACGGGAGCTGCGAGCCCTGGCCGAGGTGTTGCTGGCGGAGAATGTGAGGCGCATACATGAAATCCCGATGTGTTTTCGTTGTGTATGTGTGAATAATGGTAAATGTCTGTGTCGTTAGCAACTCTCCTACTGATTCCAACCACCCGAACCGATAGAAAGAAAAGACGGAGTAATTTGAACCATTGTTTTTGTTGTGCACGCAATCCCTCTCGTAGTTGGTCTGTGCGCAGAGATTGGTCCGGGCTGATATTTTCGTGATAATTTTTACCCATCTGCTGCGCACGATCTCTTCCTGCCCGACGTGGATACATTCCCTGTAGCAACCCCCCCCCCGCCCCCC